TGGCCCAGCTGTGCCACCCGCCAGCCGGGAAGAAGGGGGCTGGGTCGGCTGCGCGCGCGCGCGGCCCTCCTCCTACCACTGCGCTTGCGCGAGCCACGCGCCTCCGTTCCAGCGACTCGCTCAAGAAAAGTTGCCGCAAACTTTCTAACGCGATTCCCCCGCCCCTTCTCCCTGCCAGACCCGCCCCCCTGCGGAGCCGGGAATTCCGAGGGGCGGAGCGCGGGCCGAGATGGGGCATTGGGGGGGCCTTCAGAGGACTCTGGAGACGGAGGCGTGCAGGAGCTTAGTCTCGGGGCGGAGGTGGCTTCGCGCCCTTAGCCCTCCCGGACGGCCCGTTACCTTCTCCGTTGTCCCGATGGGGAAACTGAGGCCCTGAGCCTGAGGCACACGCGGGGGGAGGAAAAAGCGCGGCCTGAGGCGGAGGGAAAACAAAAGGAGAATCACGGACAGACGGGGAGGGGGGCGGGCACACACACAGACACTGGGACAGAGACCCTAGTGGAGAGCTGGGCCTGGCATTGCTGGGGGAGACGCGGGGTCGGCGGGGGGTTGGAGATCGGGAAGCGCGAAGGGGAGGGCCGCGGGGGGGGGACGGGCGGGGGAGGGGGCCGGGGAAAGCCCGAGGGAGGAGGAGAAGGAGGGAGGAACTTCCCAAAGTTGCAAAACATGGCTACCTTGCCTGCGGAGCCGAGCGCGGGGCCAGCGGCTGGGGGGGAGGCGGTGGCGGCCGCGGCGACCGAAGAAGAGGAGGAGGAAGCGCGCCAGCTCCTGCAGACTTTGCAGGCGGCCGAGGGTGAGGCGGCGGCCGCAGCCGGGGCCGGGGCGGGCGAAGCGGCGGCGGGAGCGGAGGGCCCGGGATCCCCGGGCGTCCCCGGGTCGCCCCCCGAGGCCGCTGCCGAGCCGCCCACGGGCCTCCGCTTCTCGCCCGAGCAGGTGGCGTGCGTTTGCGAGGCGCTGCTACAGGCGGGCCACGCCGGCCGCTTGAGCCGCTTCCTGGGCGCACTGCCCCCGGCCGAGCGCCTACGTGGCAGCGATCCGGTGCTGCGCGCTCGGGCCCTGGTGGCCTTCCAGCGAGGCGAGTACGCCGAGCTCTACCGGCTGCTCGAGAGCCGCCCCTTCCCCGCCGCCCACCACGCCTTTCTGCAGGACCTCTACCTGCGCGCGCGCTACCACGAGGCCGAGCGAGCCCGCGGCCGCGCGCTGGGCGCAGTGGACAAGTACCGTCTGCGCAAGAAGTTCCCGCTGCCCAAGACCATATGGGACGGCGAGGAGACCGTCTACTGCTTCAAGGAGCGCTCCCGCGCCGCGCTTAAGGCCTGCTATCGCGGCAACCGCTACCCTACGCCGGACGAGAAGCGCCGCCTGGCCACGCTCACCGGCCTCTCGCTCACGCAGGTCAGCAACTGGTTCAAGAACCGGCGACAGCGCGATCGGACCGGGGGCGGCGGCGCGCCCTGCAAGAGGTGAGGGGACCCGGGCGGCGCAAGTCCCGCTTTCCCCGGGGACGTGCTTACCCACCAACCCACTCTCCCCCGTGCCCGCGCCGAGCTCCTGGGGACACCTCCCGCACACACCTTCAGGCGCTCCCCCGCCCCACCCCTCCCCCCAGCGCGGGGAATACGTCTGGACAGAACTGGCACACGCCCGGGGCCCCCTCCCCGACCTCACTGCTCCTGTCGTGCAGGCTGGGAGACCTCTTCCCTCGGCTCCATTCAGAGCTCCATCCCGAGTCCCATCCATGTTCGTGGCCAGGGGAGGCAGTGAGAAGATGGGGGGGGAGGCTGCGGAGAGGGGGACCGGCCTTTGTCCACCCATCCCGCGTGGGGGCATCTTTCACGCCCGCGGGCTGCCGGGCCTTTCCCTGACCGAGGCTCTTCCTCGCCCCCCCACCCCCCTGTGTGCCCAAACAGCGTGGTCCGTCGTCTGTCTTTGTTGTGAAACGTGAACCTTCCCCAGCTCCGGTTTCCCTGTAACCCAAGCCCTTCCCCTCCCACCCCGCGCGCCGGCCTCTCTCCCTTCTCTGACGCCCGGGGGTAGGGGGGGAGGCACCGGGAACTGAGCGGGCAGCCGCAGATCCACTCTCCGAAGTCGCTGGGCTGCTCGCAGCCTGACCCGGGGGGACTTGGGGCGGCCCAGTGCTCAGCCTCTGGGGCCCCCAGGCCAACGGGCTGGGAGAGGAGGGCCTCCCCCCTCCGAGGCGGCCAGCTTCAGTTTTTATGAAGACGTATCAGTGCTGGACTTGCAAACGCTCTGTCTCAGGGGGGCCGGGGTGGTCTGAGAGAGGAGGTTTTATAACCTCCTGAAATTGGCCACCGAAGTTTGGGCTGCGGAAAGGTGGGGAGGCAGGGGTGGGCCTGGGCTCCCGCAGGGCTGCTTGCTGGCCAGTGGGGAAGCTCAGGCATCCAGGACCTCAACTCACGATCCTTTCTCTGGCCAGCGAGTCTGACGGGAACCCCACGACCGAGGACGAGTCCAGCCGCAGTCCCGAGGACCTGGACAGGGGCGTGGCTCCAGTGGCTTCCGAGGCCCCCGCCCAGGGCTCCATATTCCTGGCGGGGGCCGCCCCTCCCGCCCCGTGCCCGGCCTCCTCCTCCATCCTGGTGAACGGGAGCTTCCTGGCCGCAGGCAGCTCCCCAGCTGTGCTCCTCAATGGGAGCCCCGTCATCATCAACAGCCTGGCCCTCGGGGAGGCCTCCAGCCTGGGCCCCCTGCTGCTCACCGGGGGCAGTGGCGCCCCTCCACCACAGCAGCCCGGTCCCCAGGGGGCCAGCGAGGGCAAGACCTCCCTGGTCCTGGACCCTCAGACCGGGGAGGTCCGCCTAGAGGAGGCCCAGCCGGAGGCCCCGGAGACCAAAGAGGCCCAGGGCGCTGCTTCCGGGCCGGCCGGAGAGGAGGCTCCGGGGCCTCTGCCCCAAGTGGTGCCCGGCCCCCCGCCGGCCGCCACCTTTCCTCTGCCCGCGGGACCAGTGCCTTCTGTAGCTGCTCCCCAAGTGGTGCCACTTTCTCCACCCCCTGGGTACCCCGCAGGCCTGGGCCCCACCTCCCCACTGTTGAACTTGCCCCAGGTGGTGCCCACCTCACAGGTGGTGACCCTGCCCCAGGCTGTGGGTCCACTGCAACTGTTAGCAGCCGGGCCGGGCAGCCCCGTGAAGGTGGCGGCCACCGCGGGCCCTGCCAACGTGCACCTGATAAACTCCGGCGTGGGCGTCACCGCCCTGCAGCTGCCCTCGGCCGCCGCCCCAGGTACCTCCTGCCTGGCTGGGGCCTGAGCGACGGCTGGCTGGCCGGGGGTGCTGTCGGGGGGCTTCTGGGAGGTCGGGCAGCCTGTTCCTGGCGGCGTGCCCCACACCCCTGCCGACGCCTGGCCCCCCTCTCGTCCCCACAGGAAACTTTCTCCTGGCCAACCCCGTGTCTGGCAGCCCCATCGTGACAGGCGTGGCCGTGCAACAGGGCAAGATCATCCTCACCGCCACCTTCCCCACGAGCATGCTGGTCTCCCAGGTCCTGCCGCCTGCCCCCAGCCTGGCCCTGCCCCTCAAGCCCGACGCGGCCGTTTCGGTGCCGGAGGGGGCCCTCCCGGTGGCCTCCAGCCCTGCCCTCCCGGAGGTCCATGCCCTCGGCCCCCTCTCTGCGCCACAGCCGCCGCCCGCCCCCGCCGCCGCCGCCGCCAGCCTGCCCTTCCCCGCGGACTCCTCCGGCCTCCTGCCCGGCTTCCCGGCGCCCCCGCCCGAAGGGCTCATGCTGTCGCCTGCAGCCATGCCCATCTGGCCGGCAGGCCTGGAACTGAGCGCGGGCACAGAAGGGCTGCTAGAAGCGGAGAAGGGGCTGGGGACACAGGCCCCCCCTGCCGTGCTGAGGCTGCCGGAGCCTGACCCCGAGGGGCTGCTCCTGGGGTCGGCGGCGGGGGGCGAAGTGGAAGAGGGGCTGGAAGCCGAGACCAAGGTTCTGACGCAGCTCCAGTCGGTGCCTGTGGAAGACCCGCTGGAGCTGTGACCCGGCCGGGCCTCCTCGCCTCTCCTGACAATGGTGCTCAAGGCCCAGGACGGCCCCAGCCGAGGGGACCACTCAGGCACCGCCGCTGGGAGCTGAAGGTCCCACACACTACGTATCCCCGGGCCCCTCCCCCTCCCCGAGCCCCGGAGGTGCCAGGGGCTCCCCGCTGTCCGCGCCTGCCCAGGGACACCGTCGTCCTCTGGACCGGAGGCCTTCTCTGTTACAGACGTCTCCTTGCTCTGTGCCCCCCATGTGTGGGGAGATTTGGGGGTCTTGGCTCAGGGGCTGTGCCCCCCTCACCCTGGTACTAGCTGTGAGCTGAAGGCCCTGCCACGAGGCTGGATTTCCAGCCCCCTTGAGCCCTCTCCCTATCTCTCCCTACGACACTATTAATAGCTCCACTGACACCCAGCGTCCCAGAGCCACATGGAGGGGGGAGGACAGGCAGCCCCTCCCAGCTGGGCCCTTCCTGCTGAACAGGGAGGCAGGTGCGGGGAGGCCTGGGCGAGGCTCCTCCCGGACTAGAGGCCGCCCGATCACGTCCAGCCCCAGACCAAAGATACCCTCACCCCTGGGGCGACCCTGACCCCCGTGTCTAGTTTGTATCATAAATCTTTATTTTTCTAGGACATGTTATGCCTCCGTTTCAATTAAAATAAAGTTAACAGACAACTAGAACCTCCGGGGGTGTGGGTGCCCTCCTGAATTACTTGCTCGAAGGAAAAGCTGAACCCTAGAAAGCCCCACCTGAGCTGCTGGCTGTCCCACTGCCGCTTCCTGGTGGGGACAGGGGATCGGAGGTCAGCTCCGCGGCGCTGTTTGGGAAGGTGTGGGCAGGGTGGTTTCTCAAACCGCAGGCCCCGGGGGCCTCCAGATCCTGTAGAAGGAGCACCCATCCCCCCCAGGGTTGAGGAAGCCGGGTGTGTGGGTGTGGGGTATGTGGACAAAGGAGCGTCCCTTGTCTTTCTTGCTGGTAACAAGGGTTCCACTTACTTTATTTTGTGGAAAACAATAAATAATCTATAAATAGAACAGGGGAGGGGGAGTGGGGTGAGGCAAGAATGAACGGGACTGAAACCACTGGATTCTGGGGTGGGCAAAGGAAGTGCAGGTGAGCCCCTCCTCGTAACCTTCACCTTGCTGCATTTCATCAGAGCTTGCTTCCTCCCACCCTGCGGCTCCCCGGATACACCCCCTGCTAGAAAGGGGGTGAGGGAAGGGCAGTGGGCTGCGGGCAGGCACAGTTCAGGCCGCTCTAGCACGAGGGGGCAAGCTCACAAAGCGTTGGAGTCAATAAATAAGCCGCCCCCTCCCGGCCTCACCGGAACTGGCCAAGGGACCTGCTGGGGGAGGGGTGAGGCCCAGGAGGGGACAAACCATAGCTGCGGGAGCTGTGAGAGGCGAGGCAGGGTCACCCTCTCAGTCGCGGAGAGGGGGCAGCAGAGAAGCCAGGTCTGGGGAGGAGCCGGCCTTCTCGGCCATCAGCTGGTAGAAGGGCTTGGGGGGCCCCCAGTCCTCGTCCTCGCTGCTGGAACTATCCCGCTTCACGATCCGGTTGTGCTGGAGGCTGAACCTGCGCGCTTTGACGCTGGGGGAGAGGGGCGGGGCGGTCATTCCTTCCCTGTCCCTTACCCCCCTCCCCCGGCCCAGAGCCTTGTTTGGCTCCATCAGGCCAACCTCTGGGCCCAGGTCTGTGCAATGGGAAGAGCCAAGGGCTCTTCGCTGGAACCTCACACTCCCACGAGGTGTTAAAACCGTGCACGGACATGTCACGTGTTTCAGGGGCCGGTGAGAAAGGGGCAGGGGACAGCTCTGACCCAGGGTGGCAGGGAGGCCTAGTGACAGGGAGAGAAGACCCAGCCGCTCTGCTCTGAGAAGCTCCCTGTGGCGGGAAGGGCAAAAGGGAGTCTGCAGCCCGAGTGAGGCTGTTTGCCCTTCTAAGCCGCGCGCTGGGGCCCCTCGAGCCACCTCCCCGGGACCCGCCCCAGTCAACGGGCCGCCTCCCCGTATTGCACAGCAGGAGGCTCTGGGAGGCAGGGCGGCGGGAAGGCGCGGGGAGGGCCTCGCTCCGGGCAGCGGCTCCTCACCAGTACGGTCTGCGCTCCTGCTGGGTCATCACCCGCCACAGCTGGGCCAGCTCCTTGGTGGCGGCCGTGGACGCGGTCCCAGGGCAGGCTCTGGGGCAGGAGGGAGGAGGTCAGGGGAGCCTGCTCTTGGCGAGGGAGGTTTCCCTGCCCCCCGTCCCCCCCCATCCCCCCCTTTCCCATCCATGTTGGCCTGAAAGCCTCAGAACGCCCCCTCTGGGGCTCTGCTGTCAGAATGGGAGGGGGACTAACTGGTTGTTGGGAAGGGGAAGGAAGGGGACACCTTAGGACCTGCGGGGACCTGCATCTGCTGCTTCAGTACCAGCACCCGGATCTTCCCGTCTGGGCACCGGCTCCGCTGAGGATCGGGGGGGGGGGGGGCTCCCCGCCCCCCGCTGTCAGGGCTGGGAGCCCCATCTAGCAGGTGAGCCCCAAGAACTTTTGCTGGAAACATTAGAAACAGGGAGCTCTCCTCCCACCGGGTCACTGGGGGTGACCCTGAACCAACACCGCCCTGTGAGCTGGAGGAGAAGCCAACCCGGAGGAGCGAAGTGGGAGCCGTGGGCGCCCTAGGCCCAGCGGCACCTCACGGCAATCACCGCCTCGCCTTCTGCCAGGTCACACAAGCCAACTGGCTTTTCCCTTAAGTGTGAGTTGGGTTTCACCTGCTTACAATTCGAGGGCCTTGACCAAGGCAACGACCAGGTTAGATGCTGGGGAGGGTGTGGGGTGGGGAGTGCGGCTGGGTCCTTTCCGGAAGGGGCAAATGTGTCAGACAGCAGGGGCAACGCGCTCTGGGGTGGGGAGGGTGGACAGGGCAGGCGGGGCCCCTCCCGGGGCCCCAAAGGACCCCCACCCACCGGATGTACTGCTTCCGGTTCATCCTGCAGAACATGATGAAGCCATTGACGCATTTTTTCTTCATCTGGGCAGGGCAGGGGGCTCTCATGTTTTCCTTGGGCTTCGCCTGGCTCTTGCCTGCCTGGCCCTTCCTGGCCTTTCTCCCGGCCGGGGGCAGGGTCGAGGCCCGCCTGGTGGGGGTCCACGTGTAGTCTCCGTCCTCATCACTGGAGGACTGCAGGCCCTCGGGGTCGGCCTCGGTGTCCTGGGCAGGGGACAGGGAGGTGAGAGTGGGCCGGAGGCGCGGGGCCTACCCCTCCGATGGCTGTTCCCCCTTCACCTCCGGCTGCCTCCACACCGACTCTTCGTCCGTGTCCTCGGAGCTGGAGCTGGACGGCGCCTTGCTGGCCTCGCTCAGCGACAGGTAGCAGTGGTCCAGCGAGATGGAGGACGGGCACAGGGGGTGGGGGTCGGGGGGGCCTTCGGGGGCCCCAGGGGGTGTCTCCTGGGGGGTGAAGAAGAAAGACTGGAGCTGTGGGGAAACCGCAGCATCCTGGCTCGAACTTAAGACACCCTGGCCCAACACCTGCTGGACATGCAGCCACCTGCTCTCAAGTTCCCCCAGCAGGTGGGACAGGGGCTGGACGGGGCTCGGGTCCTCCAGGGCAGTAGCTCTTGACGCCATCAGTTCAGCAGCCGTGAGGCCCTGGGCAAGGCTTAGCTTCTCGGAGCATAAGGTCCGAGTGGGGCCCCGCAGGGCCGAGAAGCACCCAGCACAGGGCCTGGCGCTCACCAGGAGCTCCGCCAAGGGTGTCTATGCTTGTTTCTGCTGCCGATTCAGTTGCTCACTGAGGCAGGGGGCCGCCTCCCACATGGGGGAGGCATGCTCGTCTGGGGACCAGAGACCTCCCCCTAGCCGGGTGAGTGCCCTGGTTGGGGGAGGGAACCTCTTTCCAACTGAAGATTCCTGAGCTCACTCTGCCATTCTGTTTCCCCCTCTGTTGAATGGGGGTCCCAAGAGACCCCGCCTCACAGAGCAGTTGTAAAAGCATGTGGGGTCTCTTATGGGCGCCCGGCAGCTTTTAGCTCTTATCCTTTGTATCTACTTTATTCCAAATGCCCAGCACAAGAGTAGGGGGCCTGGTGGCCAGCGATGAATGTTCGAAGGACAAGGACGGGCAGATGAGGGCACAGGCGGTAGATGAGTCTCTGGAAAGATGGAGAAGCGTGAGCAGGCAGACAGTGAGTGGGTGGGGGGCAGGCGGCTGAACGGAACAGGAGACAGAAGAGTAAACGACACAGGTGAGGCGCTGAGGGAAGGAGGCTGGACGTGCCTGCGGACGGATGCCTACCTCGTTCTGGGGCACCTCAAGCATGCCATCGGGGGGTGAAGACTCAGGATCTAGGAGCGCTTCTTCAAAGAGAGCTGTTGGGGAGGGAGGCCAGGGTGGGGGCTGGAATGGAAACGCCTCCCCCGCGGGGGCCACCCCAGCCGGACAGCCTCACTGCCCTTCTCTAGATTTCTGCTCTGGGATCTCCTGGCCCACGTCCAGAACCAGCTCACAGCCCAGCTCCCCCGGGTCCCCACCCCCCAACCTGAGCCAGCTGAGTGGGTCTCCACCGCAGGCTCCGGAGCCTTCCCCTCACCACGCTGGCCTGGGGCTTCGAGGCAGGACCTGGATGGGATTCACCCCTGGGGACCCAGTTCTGCTGAGCACAGGACAGAGCACTAGGTGGCCGTCACTGTATCTTTTCTTTCTTTTCTTTTAAGTAGGCTTTGCACCCAGCATGGAGCCCAATGCAGGCCTTGAACTCCTGAGCTGGGATTGAGAGTCGGACGCTTCACCAGCTGAGTCACCCAGGCCGCCCTCACCGACTGCTTCCTGAACAAACCCAGCGTCAGATCTAGCCGTGGGTGCTCACCTTGCGTCAGGTACTCAGTACCGGTTCCATCCTCCAGGATCTGTTCTGGCAGCATGTTTCCTGGGGAGTTGAAGAGGGAGGGGCTGAGCCCTAGGATCTCACTCGGGTGGCCTGTCACCGCTAACTTGTTACTCTGGGGAGGCCCCAAGGCCAGCGAGCACCCTGAAAAAGAAACATCAGGCTTGAGGATGTGTCGGCCCCTGACACAACAGCTGGCTTTGAGGAGGTGGTGCTGGGCACTGGGGAAGGTGACTCTGTCATTTTGAGCGCTCAGGAGAGGAAATTAAGAGGCAAGATGGCCAGCATGATGTCATGGACAACCAAATCCAGAAACATCAATATCTGGTGTGCCAAATCTGATAGATCGATCGTAGCCACCCGGAGCTCTGTGTTAAGAAAGATTCTGAGGCAGTCTCTGGGCTCCACAGAAAGAGCGATGGTCGATTATTAATGTCTGCCATGGCAACCAATGGCTCAGTGACGGCAGAGGCCCTGCGGGCAGCCGGCTCATCCCTGGCCTGCTCTCCTCCCCACCACCGGAAGCCTCAGCCTCAGGAGGAAATGAGCAAGGAAGGCCCTCACGCCAGCCTACAGTGCGGAGAGACCGTTTCAGTCACCATGGGGGCTGCCCTCTGGGGTCCAGGCAGGAAGCCAAGGGTCAGCATCTGGGGACTCTTTGTCCACCTCCTCGCTGGAATCGTAGAACACCGTCTTCTGCCTGCAAGAGGTGGAATTCACGAGGCAGACCCGGAGCCCCGGGCTGGGAGCCGTGTGTGACCCGGGGCGAGCTGCTTCCCCCTGGGGTGTCTCGGCGTCGCCCACGGTGACGGAAGAGGAGGGTCACTCTGTGCTGGTTGGCTGCTGGGGGGGGCGGGGAGGGCAGGAAGCTCAGCTGAGGCGCCTGCCCTCAAGGGGCTTCGGGTTGTGAGGAGACGCAGCTGTAGTGGGATGCTGGCGACACAGGGGGCAGGGCTGTGACGAGCGGCGCTCCAGGACAGAGAGGGTGGGCAGGGCAGGAGGGAAGACCACACTGAGCTTGGCCAGGAGGGTGGAGGCTCTCTAGGGGACAAGGGAAACAGGCAGGGATCAGAGGGCGGAAAGCCCGGAGGCGGCAAGAGCGTGGCTCCCGTGGAGTGGTGGATATTTGGTGGCGTTAAGGGTGAGATTCACGGGTGAGCAGCAGCAGAGGGGGCTGATGAGATGAGCAGGTGCCCAGGAGGCTCTGTTTGGGCTTGACCCCACGGGCACTGAGGGAGGCCGTAATGCCATGAGCTGACATGACCACAGTCTGTGGTTGGAGAAGCCAGTCAGGCAACTAGGGAGGACAGGCCGGAAGGGGTGAGACGTGAGGCAGGGAGGCTGGCGAGGGGCTGCAGCCCGGATCCGGCAGAAGGGCCAGAAGCAGGGCCCTCCTTGGAACCTCTGCCGCCTGCACGGAGCGAGGCCCACAACGGTGCTCTCTCCACAGATACCAGCGAGGGCGTACGTCAACCTCGTTTCTCACGGCCCCTCAGCCAATCCAGACCACACACCTCAGCCTCCCCCTCTCAGAGCCCTCGGGGTCCCCTTACCTGGGACACAGCCGTGTCCTGTTGAGAAAATGGATCCCCTCGGCCCCTTGCTGGGCCCTGAAGTCAAGGTAGGGCCCATTACCCTGGGCACTGACTCTGCACCAGCAGCCTACGGGGGGCAAGTCGGGGTGCTTAGTCCTGTGACCAGGCCACCTTCCGGGACTCACAGACACAGGGCGCAGAGGCGCTGGGGCCTGCTGCAGCCTCTTCCGCCCGGATCCTGGGAGACCTCAGGCTGCGGGGCCTCTGTGTGAGGTCACAGGACAACCCTGAGTGACCCCCGGGTTCCTGGAACCCGACCTCTCTCTCAGAAGCTGTAAGGGAGCCAAAAGCCTGAAGTGGAATAATGTCGATGAAAATGACGATAGTGAAGGCAAGGATGGAGCGCTTACCAGGCCAGCAAGGATTTAGACACTTTACGTGGTAGTTGGCAGCCCTGTGCCGAAGGGTGCCACTTTTATATGCCTTTCACAGTTAAGTGAACAGAGGGGACAGGATGGCCCAGGGCCTTGCCTTCCGAGCGCCCCTTTCTCGCCTGGCTCCCTGCCAGGTACATCTCTGCCCCTTCTCAACCTGGCACATGGACGGACAGGAGTCATGAGAGCGACTGCCCGCCCTCCCCCACAGCTCACGCGAGGGCCACACTGAGGCTGTCCCACAACAGAGCCTGGGAAGGAAAGAGAACAGGGAAGAGGCCTGAGACAGCGTCTGTCTTGTCCACCATGGAGTCCCCAGCTACCGGGACCAGGCTCAGGACACTGTGGGTGGCCGACACGTAGTGTGTAAGTAACTGGCTAAGAGAACAGTGAGGAAAGAGACCAACTTGAAATGTCACAGCGGACGCTGCTCTCAGCCATGTCCAACAACGTCAGCCGGGATCTCCCTCCCTTTCTGTCATCTGGAGGTGGGGCTGAGGCAACTTTGGGGTGACTGCAGAAGGTGGTGCATCTTGAAGGGGCGCTGGTCCTCCCCACATTTCCTCCTTGCTCGTCTGGGGATGGCGTCACCCACTTCTTGGGCTTGTCCAGGGCCAGGCAGCGCCGAGGCTTCTGGGCCCGGGTCTGGCGTTCTGGGGGAGCAGAGACACAGGCGTCAGAGGGGGCCAGAATGTGGCTCAGGTGCGGGGGGGGGCGTCTTTGCTCTGGACTCCACAACCTGTTCAAGGTTTGCCCAGGTAAGCCTGGGCCTCAGTTGGAGATCAGCTCGACCTGGGCTCCCTTCCCCTGCCCACAAGAATCATCTTGTGAGCTCTGGAAAAATACTGATGCCCAGCTTCCACCCCAGCCCATGGAACTTGCCTTTCTGGGTATGAGGCACAGAGGTAGGCATTTTTTTTTTTACTTTATTTTGAGAGAGAGAGAGAGAGAGAGAGGAAGCATGAGTAGGGGAGGGGCATAGAGAGAAGGAGAAAGAATCCCAAGCAGGCTCTGCATTGTCAGATGTGGGGCTCAAACTCATGAACCAGGAGATCATTACCTGAGCCAAAACCAAGAGTCTGAAGCTTAACTGACTGAGCCACCCAGAGGGCCCAGGGATAGGTGCTGTGTTTTGTTTGTTTGTTTTTTGAGAGAGAGAGGGCGCAAGTGAGCAAGCGGAAAAGGGAGGGGAGGGAGAGAGAGAGAAGTGGGGCCTCACCTGAAGCAGGGCTTGAACTCACAAACTGTGAGATCATGACCTGAGCTGATGTTAGATGCTTAACCAACTGAGCCACCCAGGTGCCCCAGGGATATGCATTTTTAAAAGTACCCTGGATGCTTCAATTAGATATGCAGCCAAGACTGGAAATCATTGATTAGGTACAAGTCCCATTTTAAGAACATGTAAACTGAGGCCTGCGGAGGGCAAGGGACACAGAGCAAGTCAGTGGCAAGGCTGAAGCCAGCCCTACCTGGCTCTTTCCATTGCCCCGTGCTCCCTGATGCCCAGGCCCGGGGTGACTGGGCGTAAAGACAGTACAAGCTGACAGCAGCTTCCACTCACGGGGTGCTGACTATGTGCCTCCAACCCAGCACTGCTCAGGGAGTGTGTACACAGGCTCATCCTTAAGACCACCTACAATCCCTAGACCAGGAAGCTGGAGCTCAGAGGAGGAAAGTAACCCCTCCAGGCCTCAGAGCTAGTGAGAGGAAGGGCCAGGAGTTGAACCAGGTAGGCCTGTCTTACCGTAAAGCCTGGTCAGGGACTCTGGGTTGCTGACTGGAGCGAGAAGGGCTCGGGATAAGGAGCCATCTGACCCAGCTTCCTGTCCAGCCTCACTAGTACCTGATGATCCAGTCAGTTTCTTCTTCCGAGGTTTGCGGCAGGCTCCCTGAAGACGGGACTTCTTCCAGTGTGGGGAACGCGAAGGGGTGAAGTGTCTCAGCCTTGCCAGGCCCTTGGCCTGGTTCCGGACCAGCCCTGCACAGGATGGAGAAAGAGTTAGGTCGGAGGGCCCCAACCAGCTGACCGAGGAGGAGATCAGATGGGTCTGAGGTTGTGCAGGCAGAGGCGGTAGAGGTCAAGGGAGAAAAGTCAGGTTTCCCCAGGGCCATTCTGGGCCTTGGCCAAGATGGAAGACAGGCTCAGCGCCTCCTAAATGCGTCCCCCGTGGGACCATCTCCAACCAATGCCCCCTCCTACCTTCCTCAGGGCAGTGAGGACTCCACTGCCCAACCTGGGGGCCTGGCGCCTCTCTATCAGGCCTCTCAACTGTCCCTCAGTATCTCCCAAATGGACCACTTCTGTCCACAGCCTCGCCCTCAGTGCCAGATCGGTCTGTCTCCTGCCCAGACCACTCCTAAAGGCCTCTTCGCTGACCTCCCTGACTCCAGTTTCTCACTTAATAGCCAATCCTGCACACTAGGTGTCAGGCACGTCTTCCTAAAAAAAAAAAAAAAATCCGATCCTGGCTTTCCCCGGCTCGAAGCCCTTCTGGGGGGGCTTGGGCCCTCACCTCGTCTCACTGTTGCCCGTGGATAGTTCATGCCGGAAACAAGGAGAGCACCCGCACACCCAGCACCGGACGGCCGGCTTGCTCCAGGTACCGTGTGACGCTTTCTATGTGTATTAACTCATTTAAGCCTCATGACAGACACAGGAAGGAAGTACAGTTGGCCCTTGAACAAACGGGGTTAGGGACGCCCACCCAACCCCCCCGCACTGTGGAAAATCCACATCTAATTTGGGCTCTCCAGAAACTTCACTGCTAATAGCCTACTGCTGACCAGAAGCCTGACCTACTTAACACAAACCGTCGATTCACATATATTTTGCACATTATACGTGTTATCTCCTGAATTCTTTCAAGAACGCGAGCTAGACAAGAGAGAAGGTTAAAAAATCGTAAGGAAGAGAAACTACATTTACTGTCCCGTACGGTACTTCTCCCAAAGTATCTATGTAGAGGTGAGTCCGTGCGGTCCAAACCTGTGTTGTTCAAGGCTCGACTGTACCAGTATCGGTTTTGTTTCGCTGCTGAGAAAACTGAGGCACTGAGAAGTTAAGGTCACGAGACCTGCGTCTGCACCAGGATCTGGTTCAAGAGCCTGCGTGCGTCATCCTGATGCCACACAGTCCTTCTAAGCATGGCCGCCGCTGGCCTGTCCCAGACCTTCCGCAGGTGTCTTCTCATGTATGCCCATGGCTGCTTCTGCTTGGCGGAGGGGGTGGGGCTCCTCCCTGCTCCTGTCCTGCAAGGCCCCTCCCCGCCACAGTCTTCCCAGAGGCCCCTCTCTGAGATCATGGCATCACGCCCATCTCTCTGTCTCTGTCCCCTCCGCCAGGCTCTGAGAGCCCGCAGGGCCTGGACTCATCTAAGTCCCTCGGTGCCCCTGACGGCCAGCGCGGCTCTTGGTCCGTAGCAGACATTGGGAAGAGGGGCCTGAACTTACTTACCCCCAAGTCCACCTTCCCCGTTGACCGTGTGGAATGTGAGCAAGGCCTTGGCCACATCGATGTTCTTCTGTAGGTACTGAATATAGTGCAGGACATGCAGGAGAATCTCCTTCTGCCCTCGAAAGAAAGAGCACAAAAGTGGGGCCCCAAGGCAGTGTGAGGCTGCGGGGGACCAGAGACAGAAAGGCTCCGGGGCCCCGTTCCCCACCCCAGCAACCCCTCCACTGGCAGAGGTATCTATCTGCTGTTTAGTCCTTGCTGCTGCTCAGGGAGCCACCTGTTACAGCTAAGGGAACAGGGGCTCAGAGCTAACGCGACTTGCTAAGGTTAAAGAGAGGAAGTGGCAGAGCTGGGATCTGAGCTCAGGTCGGCCTGCCTCCTGGCCCAGTTTTGCAACATACACTGTCTGGCTTCCCAGCCCTGGCCCTTTGCACATGCCGTATTCTCTATCTGCAAAGCACCCTCTCTTCTCCCCACAGAACCCCCCCATCTGGCTTCTCCACCTTTGAGCCTTAGCACAGGGGTCTCCCCTTCCAGAAGCTTTCCACCTCCCTGATCCCTGTTACCCAGGCTGGGTCAGATGTCCCTCCTCAGCATTTTGTAATACCCTGGGCCTGTTTTATAATGACCTGTTCATGCATTATTTTCTCACTGACCTTGAACTAGTCGAGGGTCGAGATTGTACTGATTTCTGTATCTCTCCCTCACAGGATAAAGAGGTAGCTTAGCCACTGTTCGCTGAAGACTGATCTCCCCCGTAGCACTGAGCATGGTGCCTTCTACCCGGCAGGCACCAGCCAGCCACCCACCAAGTACTAAGTTGATTTTGCAGACACAAAGTTAAAAACGACTCCTACCCACTGGGGACCGGGTAGGTAGGGGTGAGCCTGACATACTTCTGTTTACCTTCCTGGAATTTATAATCTAGGGAGGACAGTGGGCCTTAAGAAACTCAAAAATCATGCAAAATTATCAGCTGTGTGATAAGCATTATGAATGACGGGAACAAGGGATTCTGAAATTGGCCTTGAGTGTCTGGAAAGGCTTCCAGCATTTGAACGGACACCTGAAGGATGACAGGGGTTAGCCTGGGGAAGGCGTGAGGGGAGAACACCAGCGGCTATTTCTTGGATTGAACTCGATCCCTAGAATAACAATCAAACTGTTAGTCATAATCTTCCAAACCCCAGATCAGGAAACATGGTCCCACAGAAGGAAATGTGTGAAACCCTTCCAGAAGATATAATACCTACGGTCGCTGAAATGATCTGACCTGGTCCACGGAAGAAAGCTATAATCTAAGGAAGACATGTGACACAGGCAGGAGACTGTTACTTGGGAAGGACCTGGAGCCAATGTGCCACTTCCTGGCTGGGTATTGGGAGCAGGCCATGTTACCTCTTTGTGCCTTGGTTTTCTCATCCGCGTAATGGGAATGAGGATATTTGTGCAGGCTCAGAGGATGATCATTAGGACTGAATAAATCAGTGTGTGTGAAACTGCCCAGCACAGAGCCTGATACACATTGGATGAGAACACTTTCATCAGGTTCTCAAAGGATTAAGTGAGGATCTTTTCTAACTTTGAGAACCAGACTGTGGGCTTCTCAAGAGCAGATATGGTACTCCAGCACCAGGCTTGCCACACGATTGGCACTCACTAAGCTAAAATGTTTGGGAACTGTAAGCTAAAATGAAGTGTTTTATTATTGGTATAATTTTTTAATGTTTATTTTGAGAGAGAGAGACAGAGGCAGAGCATGAGCAGGGGAGGGGCAGAGAGAGAAGGAGACACAGAATCCGAAGCAGGCTCCAGGCTCTGAGCTGTCAGCACAGAGCCCTACGCGGGGCTTGAACTCACAAACCGTGAGATCATGCCCTGAGCCGAAGTGGGACGCTTGACTGACTGAGCCCCCCGGGAGCCCCATACTGGTATTTTATGCAGAAGGCAATTGGACATCATCCCCGATTCCTAGACCAAAGGCTCAGTGATCAAAACTTCAGGAGACCCAGTATTGAACCTAAGGACAGATGAAGGTGGGGAGGAAGAGGGATCATTAAGATATCAGAGAATCAGAGGCGCCTGGGTGGCTCAGCTGGTTAAGCAAGTTGGTTGGTTGGTTGGTTGGTTGGTTAGGTTGGCTTCAGCTCAGGTCACGATCTATGGTTCGTGAGTTTGAGCCCCACGTTGGGCTCCACACTGACGGCGCAGAGCCTGCTTGGGATTCTCTCTCTCCTTCTCTCTTTGCCCTTCTCCCGCTCACTCTCTCTGTTTCTCTCTCAAAATAAATAAGCTTAAAAAAAAAAGACATCAGAGAATCAATGGTAATGAAAGCAGGCTGAGGCCTGGGGAGAATTCAATGAGATTCGGTCACCTGGTCAGTAATGAGAAGTCGCCTGTTGCCTGATCCGACTGCCATTCCTTTGGGGCAGAGACTGTGACCCAGTCATCTCTGCCACACTGAACTTTCCAGATCTCTGAGTCCCTTAGTAGGTTGTTCCTGGTGGCGGGAACAAGGTGTCGGCTCCGCACTGCAGGCTTTTAGCGAGTAGCCACTGGGCACGCGGAGAAGTCTTATCTATCTCTACCTCGTGGAGAAGATGCCCACAGGACACAAGACAAGGGGCTCAGAGAGAGGGAAGCGACATTTGTTCAAAGGCTGTCAAGGCTATTATGTCATTTTGGCCTCACCAAATTACTGGGTGGTAGACGTTATTGTTCCTGGTTTTGCAGCTGAGGAGCATGAGGCTGAGAGAGCGACAGGCTGAGCACCCAGCCCAGAGTCCTGCCATTTGGGGGCTGGAGGGCTCAAACCCATGGCCGTTTGAGTCCTAAAGTGATGACCTTTATGCGGCTCCTTGCCGATTTTCCCCTTCCAGGTTCCCCTGCCTCTTTTGCAAGAAGACCCCCCCCCCCCGCCCCCATCTTCTGGTTGCGGATCACAGAAATGCCCATCTCTGCGCCGGCGCCGAAAGGGCCTGCCCAGGGTATGAGGGCGGTTAAGCCGGTTACTGGCATTTTCAGATCTGCCTCCCACGTCCGCTTCCTGTCCTTCAGTCCCCATACCTTGGTGAGTTTCTTGGTACCCGTCTTCAGGGCCACGGGCAGCAGCAATGCCAGCTCTTGCAGTTTGCTGGTGTGGTTTTTCCTTTGCCTCCTGTTTTGGGCCAAGAGCAGGTTTGGGTTAGGACAGCCAAAATGGAAACTGGCCCCTGACCCCCAAACCAGCGGTCTCCGTGTTCCCATCTCAGAGAAGCTCCCCGCCCCTGACACCCCGGACAGAATCCTGGGTGTCACAGGTCGCCGTCAACCCCTCATCCAATCGGTCATCAAATCTTGCGCGTCCCCCTTGTAATCCCTTCTCTCTCCACCTCGGCCTTGTCCACATGTTGACATCCCCTTAGCTCTCCTGGCCTCCCGCCTGGCCTCCCCCAGCCCACACTGTCTGCGAGAGTCAGGGTGATCTTTCTGGAACCCAGATCTGCCCAGTTTTCTCATCTGTGCAATGGGAATGAGGATGTCCATTCAGGCTCAGAGGATTTATCAATAGGACCAAATAAGTTAGTGTGTGTGTTAGCGTGTGTGAAGCCACCCGGCACAGAGCCTGATACGTTAGTTGGCTAATAAGTGCTTCAAATCTCTCAATGCCATCCTATTAGTAAAGGTCAAGTTGAAACCCTGAACACAGCTTATAATGCCCCTCAAGGCCTGGCCCTGCTGACCATCCTGGTCTCATCTCTGACTTTCTTTGGTTCTCTCCTGTCACCTGACTCTGACTCCACAGGACAGGTGAGGTCCCTCAGCCCCATGCTCACGTACTTCTCTGGGCCCTGCTCTGACCCGAAGGCTGGCGGGGGGGGGGACGGGGGGGCGGGGGGACCACTGTGTCTCTAGCCTCTAGAACAACGTCCGGCACATCTTGGGAACTCGGGAAGTCGCCACATCTTTGCTAGATAAGTAAATAAGGGCACGGCAGAGTTGACTCCAGGATCTAATCCTCGAATCCATAATTCATCGTCATACCCCTGAATACACACCTCCACCCCTCTCTCTTGACAGATGGGGACACAGAGACAATGGAGTTTCTCTCCCAAATTACACACCATAGCCACTCCTTTTGAAGGCCTAGGCCCCCGTTTCCACCCATCTCTGTCTCACATTCCCTGGGGCTCAGTTCAATTGCCACCTGCCCCAGGAAGCCCTTGGCGACCACCCTTGCCTTCCTCCCTTGCTTGTCTGCGGCACTTTGTCACCTGCGGCATGGCCAGGCCCCAAACACCCCCGATTACAGACAGATCCTTAGCTCCTACTCACACATCCACAAACTCACACCTCCTCCTTGCCAGGCCCCCGCTGGACCACGGAAGGTGAGAGAAATCATGGTCATTGCCCTCGAGGAGACGGGGGAGTAGTGTGGGAGACACACTTATTTCCCTAACTGAACTCAGGGCTCCTGAAAGAATCTTTCTCACTCGTTCACTCAGCAGTTACCTACTCTGTGCCCAGAACGGTGACAGGTGATAGGGGTAAACAAAGAGGCGCTTGGGTGTCTCAGCGGGTTAAGCATCTGACTCCAGCTCAGGTCATGATCTCATGGTTTGTGGGTTCAAGCCCCACATCGGGATCTGTGCTGACAGTGCAGGGCCTGCTTCGGATTCTCTCTCTCTCCCTCTCTCTTTGCCCCTCCTCTGCTCTCTCTCTCTCAAAATAAATAAATAAGCCTTATTTCAAAAGTATAAATACAGCCCCTTCTAGAGCCCGCAGCACAGTCAGGGATAAAGGCACACAAACAAACGTAAAAATCCAACTTCGGCCAGACCAGCTCTACAAGTTCCTGAGGAGAGGAGCCTTGCAAATGAAAATGCAGGGCCCCTTTTTTAAAATTCAGAATTTCTAGGAGCGCCTGGGTGGCTTAGTCGGTTAAGCGTCTGACTTTCGCTTAGGTCATGATCTCGCAGTTAGTGGGTTCGAGCCCCACGTCGGGCTCTGTGCTGACTGCCAGCTCAGAGACTGGAACCTATTTCAGAGTCTGTAACTCCCTCTCTCTCTGACCCTCCCCTGCTCACGCTGTCTCTCTCTCTCTCTCCTCGAAATAAATAAAAATATTAAAAAATAAAATAAAATAAAATTCAGAATTTCTAGATGGTGAGAGCAGAGCATCGAAGCAAGCATCAGGCTCTGCCAAGCACAGGGCTCTGTAACCGCATGTGCTGCACACCCATGAAGTTGGCCCCGACGGAGACAGACACACCTATTGGTGTTAGGGGAACTTGTAACAGGTGTCATTGATATAATCTATGAGGTTTTCCCCGAGGAAGGAAACCTGGCCAGAACCTGTTCTGAAGGATGAGTGGAGATGTATAGATGAAGAGGGAGCAAGAACAGTTCAGAGAGAGGGAACATGTGCAAAGGCCCTGTGGCATGAGGAAGCACGGAGAACTCGGAGGAAGTAAAGCCGCCAGCGTGCTGGCACGCAGAAAGCAGGAGGTGTTATGGGTAACACGAGGCCGGAGAAGATAGGGGCCGGATGAGGCAGGGTCTCAGAGGCTCATAGTACAGAAGAATTTTGCCTTTATCCGAAGACCATCAGGAAGCCATAAAAGGGCGTTACACAGGGGATGCTATCATTAGTGTGCCCTCTCAAAACTGCTATGAATACAGAAGACTATATACGTTAATCAACTTAATGAAGGCATAAAAGGAAAACAAATCTCTGGTCTCAAGTTACTTCCCGGTAGAAATCATAACTTTGAGGAGCTAGAGTGTCAGCATTCTATCCTGGGAGGAAAACTGGGTTAGGCTGACCTCTGAAGTCCTGTTGGGCCCCAATCTTTGCTGTTGGCATACCACTTTTCCTTCTGTTCTAGAAGAGCCCCTCGAAGCCCCAGCGGGAAACAACACAGAAAGCAAGGAAGAAAAAAGTGTCCAGGCCTACTTAAGTTCAAGGTGTTCTTTGACCAGGTCTAGGAAAAAGAGTTTCGTACCCACTGTCATCCCTGGGTGTTTACTTGGGGTTTTGCAAAGCACCCGGAGAGAGGCTTCTGTGTGCAAACACCGAAGTTCCAGGAAAAAACCTTAGAGGGAGAAGGGTGACAAGGTCACAACATCTTGGCATCTTGTGGGCAGTAGCCCTGAATAGGTGTGACTTGGGCTCTGACCCCAGGCGCCGCCGGGCGCTTCTTCCCAAGGCCACCCCTTTCCTTACTGGATAGTTCGGAAAGTACTGGAAAGACAAGCTCTTTCCTCACAGTGTCTATAATTTTCACCCACTAATTCCAGCTCTGCCCCCTGGGCCTTCAGGAACGGGCCAGCTGCAGCAACATGGGTCCTTTTTTACCTTTCTCTAAACCGCCAAGTTTCTCTCTGCCTTAGGGCTTTTACTATTTCCTCCACCTGGAATGTTCTTTTGCCCTGATTGTTGGTTTCTCCTTTGCTGTTCAGCACCTAGCTTAAATATAACCCCCTCAGAGAGGCCTTTCCTGACCAGCTGATCTAACTAAACACATTCTTTGTCACATCCCCCTATCATTTATCAGAATCTGAAATCTTCTTTATTATAAATACCACAGGGCTGGGATTTTTGTTTCTTTTATTAATTGTTAGATCCCACACGGACTTATCCATTAGGTACAGTAAGTATAGTGCGTAAGTCTGGTGCCACTTTTAAGGGCTCATGAAAATATTTTAATTTCTTTTTTTTTTTTTTGTGATTTTGTTTTTAAGTTGTTTCTAGACCCAATATCAGGCTTGAGCTCACAAGCCTGAGTTCAAAAGTCTCATGCTCCACTCAGTGAGCCAGCGAGGCAGCCTGAAAATGTTTTAATTTCTTTTAAAGTCTATACTTTACTGCTTTTGGTTTTTAAAGTCTATACTGATGTTCCTGTAAACTATAATTTAAAATACGTTTTTGGGGGCGCCTGGGTGGCTCAGTTGGGTAAGCACCCAACTTCGGCTCAGGTCATGATCTCTCAGTCCGTGAGTTCGAGACCCATGTCAGGCTCTGAGCTGTCAGAGCCTGTTTTGAATTCTGTGTTTCTCTCTCTCTCTCAAAAATAAATAAAACATTAAAAAAAAATCTAAGGGTGAATTCACATGGTGAATTCGAGCCCTGTGTTGGGCTCTGTGCAGACAGCTCGGAGCCTGGAGCCTGCTTTGGATTCCCTTTCTCTCTGCCCCTCCTCAACTTGTGCTCTGTCTCTCTCTCAAAAGTAAATAAACATTAAATTAAAAAAAATTTTAATTAAAAAAATTGTTTAATTAAAACAATTTAAAATATGTTTTGAATGAGGGAAGGGGCTCAAGAAGGCAAAATGGCCTAGAGCCCATGAAAGTCATATGTGGCCCTGACTACATCCCAGCTCCTAGAATAATGACCACCGCTAAGTAAATGTTCAACAAAAAATTACTGAATTTATGAATGTTCCTTCTGTCTTCTGATGGCCTCAGGCTTTGAAATGGCAAATGACTCTATTTCTTGGGTTTCTTCTTCCCTGAGCTAATCAGGCTAAATTAGGCTCCCCAATTCTTCTATTTTACGAGAGCTGGAAGAGCCAGTCCAAACATCTCATATTAGATATAGGAAAACTCAGGCCCAGACCCTAATTTGCTTTAATGTGTGCAGAAATTTAAGAGTAAGAGCTGCCCTAAAGTGGGACAAAGCCGGGGGCGGGGGGCAGTCCCAGGAGGGAGCATAATAGTTGGTTATACGCTCCAGCTTTTGAATAAGACAGAACTAGACTGAAATCCTACCTCTGCCATTTGCTATCTGACTTTGGACACGTTTTAATCTCCCTGAGGCTGGTTGGTTGTTTTTTTTTTTTTAATTTTTAACGTTTATTTTTGAGAGAGAGAGAGACAGAGCAGGAATGGGGGAGGGGCAGAGAGAAGGAGACACAGAATCTGACCCAGGCTCCAGGCTCTGAGCTGTCAGCACAGAGCCCAAGGCGGGGCTTGAACTCACGAGCTGTGAGATCAGCACCTGAGCTGAAGTCAGACGCTCAACTGACTGAGCCACCCAGGCGCCCCTCTCTGAGGCTGTTTTTAACTAATTTATAAAGTGGAGGTGGCTAGAAAGTTTTATCCTGCCTGGAGGGTGTTGAGCATAACACCTGGCATATGGAGAGTGCTCACAAGATGTTACTGACAGAAGGTGGAAGGTCATTTGTCATAATTTTCTAGGGATAAGGGATGCTGAAGAATGGGGTGGAAGGTTGCTAAAACTGTTGCTTTTGGTTGACCAACGTTTAATCCCCCTCGACTGGTAATAATTTCCTTTGAAACAACCCCTCCCCCACTCTCAGTCTACGTGGTCGGGAGAGGTCAACCCCCCCTCCCCCCTCCACTGGGCAGCACAGAACTAAGGTCCAGCTAAGAAGAGTCCCAGTGATTGGTTCAGGATTGGGGTCATAACCCAGCCTTGGCCAATCAGAATCCATGGGCCTTGGAAAGAGACTGGGCTTGTCAGGCTGGCCAGAAATGGATCTGGAGCCGCTGGAAGCCATTTTGCCCTCCCAGAGAGAGAGAGCCTGCTTCCAGAAGGAAGCCAACAGATGGCAACAGCAGAGCCAAGAGAGGGCGTTCCTTGCCTGGAACCAGCCAAGCCTGATGCCCTCTTGAGTTTTGTTTTTTTGTTTGTTTAAAGGACCCAATGAATCTCTTTTTATGCTTAAGCTGGTTTTAACTAGGTTTCTGTTCATTGCAACTAAGAGTGTTTATTAATACCACAAACAACACCCTACCCCCACCCCATCTAGAAAGGGGGACAAGACACTACATTGTTGATGACCTCTGAGACTCCAGGAGGAATGGAAAGTGGGAAAGGCATTCTTCATTTTCTTCACAGTGCTCCTTCTGAGCACAGTACCTAAATAGAGAACCTGAACAGCGCAGATGCTTCATTTTGGAATTAATAAGTGAATAGAGAGATGAATGGACAGTCAGGCAGTCATTTGGGGAGACAGTGGGGAGAAGATGAGCTCTGGCTCTCTTCAGGCTTTGGAGGGACCTGATGCAGCCCTCAATCTGCTGTAAAAATCCCCTCTAGGAGATCCCTGACACTTGATAGGTGCTGGATGGATGAATGAATACAGGGAAAAAAAAGAAAGGAAGGAGGGCATTTAAGAAACTCAGAACGTTAAAGCCTGCGAGGGCCTCCGAGACCATTTCTGGCAACCACCTCAGAGTTCTCTCATCTTGACAATGGCAGTAATATTGGCTCATACTTCCTTCTGGAGTTGTAAGGATTAAAAAATATCATGCAAACGAAGGGCTTAGGGGAGAGTCTGACAAACGGTGAACATTCTTGTTATTATTCAACAAGAGTGGCCAAAGCTGTAAGGGAGAGAGGCAGGGGAGAGCCCTTACCTCTCACTGGGACCCAGGGGGCTGGTTCTGGGCCATTCAGGGGAACTCAGGTGTCTACTGGAACGCCACATCTGCAAAGAGGGGAAAGGGAAAGAATTAGTGACCTCTGCAACTCCAGGAGGAACAGGCAACAAGGTGGACAGCCTTCATTTTTCTCCACGTCGTTCCTTTGAGCACTCAGACAGCCCAAGGGCCCCCAACCGCCTACAAATATGGGCCCAGAGGCCAAATTCAAAGCCCTGAACTCTAAACTGAAGTCCACGAATCCCAAACCGTAAATGTGGGCCAACTTGCGCTCAGTACCTCAAACTAAAAACACGTTCCCAAACTTGAACTTCAGAACTTTGGTCTTAATAGTGAGATGTCAGACGGCGAGGCCCGAAAACTGGCTGCAGAGCTCTAAACCGTGAGGTTACAACACTAATGCCATGACTTTAAACTCTCAGAGTGAAGCTCTAAAACCCCAAAAGAGCACCCTCCCCCAAACCCAACAACCTTCAATCTAATACAGAGAGACTCTGGACCCCTAAACTGTCTACTTCTGATCTCCAAATGCAACCCAATCCCAATCCAATTAAGATCACAGACCACAGGGACACCTGGGTGGCTCAATCAGTTAAGCGTCCGACTTTGGCTCAGGTCATGATCTCACAGTCCGTGAGTTCGAGCCCCACGTCAGGCTCTGTGCTGACAGCTTGGAGCCTGGAGCCTGCCTGGGATTCTGTGTCTCCTTCTCTCTTTCTGCCCCTCCCCCACTCATGCTTTGTCTCTCAAAAATGAACAAAAGTTAATTTTTTTTTTTAAATCACAGACCACACACCTTAACAGAGCACCCAGACCCTAAAAGAAGAAACCCAGGCCCTCAAAGCAAACCACAGTTGCCCACAGTGGCCTTGGATCCAAAATTAAAGACCTCTAGACCCTGGAACTATCACTTCAGACCTTCAAATTGTGACCCCCTAACCCTACCATTGAGATCTCACATGTGGGTCCCAAAATTGACACCCCATAACTCAACGTGAGGACTCCAGGCCCTGAAGTTTAACCCTCAGAGTCCCTGTGCCTCAGTCCGGAAATCTCACACCTCATCCTCTGTACTGAGGTTCTAGACCCTAAATCCATACCGAGGCTTCAAACCTCCCAGAGCGGACCCCAGGCCCCCAAATGACACCCCAGAACTCAAAATCTCCTTCAGGCTCGCTTGATTCCAACAGGGAAGCTTCTAGTCACCAACCCCTCCCCCCACTTTCAGATTCCAGGACTAGTCAGATCCAGATACAAAGCCTGAGGGCCTAGGGCCCGGATCCCTATCTGAAAGCCCGAACACTCTTCAGAGCCTTCACACTTGAGCCTGGACCCCCAAACCTAGGCCCAGCCTCACAGCCAAACCCCAGCTCTGCTGCCCATGGCCTGCCTTGCTCCGAGCACCCGGGGCACGTCCGCCTTCCTGTCCCCCTGAACCTCCGAGAGGGAAGCCGCGACCACAGAGTGCTGCTCCTGAACGGCCCCCGGGCTCCCTCTCTGAAGCGCTAGCTCCCCTCGGCCTCCAGCACCCGCTTCCGGACGTGCAAAATGGCGTGAGGCCCCCCCTTCTGGTTTCACGCTGGCTCCACACTCGGGACCCCGATCAGACAGCGTCAGGCGCGCGTCCCTGGGAGGCTGGCTGCGCGCGCGAGCCGCAGGCCACTGCGTCCCCCACCCCTGCCGCGAGGCGGGCGCGAATCCCCCTTGGCTCGAGGCTCTCGTGCGAAGCCTGTGGAAGGGAGCAGAAGGGAGCTCCAGAGGCCAGGCCACGCCCCTCCCCGTTCCCGCCAAGGTGTGCAGGGCACGAGACAGGAGAGGCGAAACGGCAGGGTGCAAGGGGCCATGCGCAAGCGCGCCTGGGGACGGGCCCCCGCTTCCAGCGCCGCCGGAGCTTCGCCGCGTGCCTCCAGACAGGGCCTTGGCTGGTGCGCGCCAAAGTGCCGACCAATCAGCGCTCAGTCAGCTCCCCCTCCACTTCGCCCCCCCCCGCCTGGCCACGCCCCCTCAGCTGATCCTTGAGGTCCTGGACCCCCGGGGATCCTGAGGAGGCGGGGTTTCCCCAACTGCCAACTCTCCGGGAACAGAGAAAGATCTGGCCAGTGTCCTTTCTGGCCTTCACGGCACCGGTTCCCTTCCGTGCATATCTAATGAGGGCCTCCTCTGTGCTGGAGGTGGAGCATTTAGCTGCGGTCTCCCCAGTGCAGTTGACCTTGAGCATCTGGGGAGGCAGTGGCAGCGATAAAGAGGGATAGGTTGAGAAAAGATTCAAAGCGGAGGGTCGTTGGAATTGGTCTTCGGTAGCAGTTCCCCTCAGGAAGATGTACGTTCCTCGATAGAGCAAACTCTTCTTTTAGAAAGTTCTTTCTGATGGCCCATGAAGATGGACTGGAAAATGCAGCTTAAGGGAAAGCCGTCTGACGACCGAGTGGAGAGTAGAGACCCTGGCGTCCAACACATACCGGTTCCAATCACGTTCTTGCTGCATTGCCACGGAGAAGAGGTTTAATCTCTTTCTGCCTTAGCTTTTCACAAAGTTGGGATGATACCTGGGCTGCCTGGGGGCGCCCGGGTGGCTCGGTCGGTTAAGCATGGGACTTCAGCTCGGGTCAAGATCTCCTGCTCTACGAGTTCGAGTCCCACGGTGGGCTCTGGGCTGACAGCTCAGAGCCTGGAGCCTGCTTCGGATTCTGTGCCTCCCTCTCTCTCTGCCCCTCCCCTGCTCGCGCGCTCTCTCCCTCAAGAATAAATAAACATGAAAAAAAAATTTTTAAATACTTGGGGTGTCTGCAGGGTGTCTGGAATATGATTAGTATGCAATACATATTTACATAACACTTATTTACACTGTTCTGGGTGCCTGAAGGAGATAAAAGTTGCCTGTTCTCTTGGAGCTTCGATGATGTTGACTAGTTCCTAGTTCGTGGGGCTTTCCTTCCGTCTAAGGCTTAATTTTACCATTTTTAAATTAGGAGGTGGTGGTAAGAAAATCGGGAGGTGGTGGTGATGAGATGGGAAAATGTCTGAGCAAGTACAAGGCACCGTTAATTATTATGTTAATTAGTATAAGTAAACGTGCTCCTTCCCAACTCTCCACCTCTCACAAACGTCTCTTGACAATTTGCTGAATTTCTTTCAAAGGGCCCCGGGCCAAAATGGAGGAGGCCGGACTCCATCTCCCAGTGCTCATGGCGGGGCGCTCTCTGCGCCTGCGCTGCAGAGGGCCCTCTCCGCCTCCTGGGAGTTAAGAGTCGATCTTCTCCTCAGCCCGCCCAGTTTGCTTCCTTTCTCCGCCTCCAAGCTTGAGCACGCTGCCTTCTGGGAGGTGTAGTCCGTGGCCACTCGGACTCCAATTCCCAGCGGGCTTCGGGGCGGGAACCCGGAAGGGGAGGCTGGAGAGGAGCGAGTGGGGGAAACCCGCGTAGCCGAGAAGAGCTGCGGCGCGGAGAGATGGTGAGAACCCCGAGCGGGGGCTCGGGACGCTTGAAAGCTGGGGCGGGGGTTCGGGACCGGGTGGCGAGAAGGAAGAGGCAAGGGCTAAAGAAGAGGCTGGACGACGAGAGGTCGCTTTGGGGAGGGGTCTGGGAGAAATGGGAGCCGAAGGGAGTAGTAGAAGAATGGGGGCTGGGGAGGGGTCTTGGAAGTGGGGAGGGAGTCGAGCCTTGGGATTGATTGTAAGGGAGCTCCGAGGTGGGGAAGGGAGTCCCGAGTTGGAGAAGGGGCTGGGCGTCCGGCAGAGGCCCAGAAGGGAGCACTTTCGAGGGGAGTAGCCTGGGGGATGCGGAAAGGCATGGGAGTCAGGGCTAGATGAATGAAGGGCTCTCTAGGCTCCGAGGGAGAGGCCAGCTGTGGCTGCAGTGGGCTGGGGCCTCTAGATCGGATTGGGGGCAGGAGGGCAAGCTGAGGTGGTGGAGAGAGAGAAATCAATGGTAGAGCGGTGTGTTGGTTAGGCTGCCGTCCTGGGAATGGGTGGAGAGCATGAGATTAGGCGCCTGGATGTAACGACAGTTTGCCCAGACCAGCCCGAGACTCCCAAGAAACTGGACAGGCACAGCACCAGGACAAGCTGGCCGGAAAGGGCTACAGAGAGAACCTTTTGCACGCTCATCTCTCCGGTGGGATCTTGAAAAGTGTAGTGGTCGATGTGTATTGGCATGCAGATCACTTCTTTGTGCCCTGGGCAAATCTCCCTTCTCTGGAACTTGGTGCCCTTATCTGAGTTGTGGGAACAACTTGCCACTGAGAAGAGGGAAGGCTCCTTAAGATTGTTACTCTCTGGTAGTAAGTCCTTACCCAGCCTCAGAGCTGTTGGTGGGAAGTTCCCCATCCCAGGAATGCGGCTGGGTCACAGGTGCTAATGGATTCCCTCCTTATCAGTCCAACCCCAGAGGCAGTTTCTCAAAACCTGGCACTGACCTGGGAATATCCCAGCTAAGAAGCATGCAGGGGGCTCTCCACAGTGGATTAGAGCTAACATTTATGGTTTAGAAAACGCCTGGCCCTTTTCTTTGCTCTTTGTGCATATTAACTCATTTAATTCTGGCATTAAAAGCGTAGGCGTACGTGCTGTTTTTATTTCCATCCTACAGAAAGGACGCAGAGGCACAGAGAACTTAAGCAACTTTCCTTTAAAAAAAATTTTTTTTTAATGTTTTATTTATTTCTAGGAGTGAGAGAGACAGCATGAGCAGGGGAGGGTCAGAGACAGAGGGAGTCACAGACTGAAACAGGCTCCAGGCTCTGAGCCGGCAGTCAGCACGGAGCCCGACATGGGGCTCGAACCCACGAACCGTGAGATCATGACCTAAGCGAAAGTCGGACGCTTAACCGACTAAGCCACCCAGGCGCCCCCCCCTTTTTTAAAAAAAAATTTTTTTTTTAAAGCAACTTTCCTAATGTCGTCCAGCGTTCAATGGGAGGCTCAGGATTCCAAGCTAGGCATACTGGCTCAGAATCTGCTGTCACCACTGTAATTTAGTCCCTTTGCCTTGTACTGAAATGCCACGAGTACGGCAGAGACTCGAGAACAGAGGCAATCTTCAGTTTGAAT